CATGTTTGGGTCGGGTGAGTCGGGGCAAATCACCATCCTTAGTTTTGAACCAACATACATACTTCTCCCAATTAAAAAAAAATCTCAATTAACTTGAAGTGAACAAATTATATTAAAATAAATAAATATTTAACCCATAGTGATATTTAGACTTGGGATCATATGAGACAAAACTATTTTCATGAGACACGTGAAACAAATTTTTTTACACTTAAAACTTCACAGCAAAACGCTGTAAAAGTAACATTCACAGTGTTTTTGCTGTGAATATTCAGCTTTCTTTTACCTTCACACCGTTTTACTGTGAATTTTCAAGTGTAAAAAAACTTGTCTCATGAAAACAGTCTTGTCTCACGTGAACCCAAACCATGATATTTATATTTCAAAAAATTTAAACCGGGTTTAAAACGTCAATCATATTGTATTCGTACAATATTTTTAGTATATACTCATTTACAATTTATTATTATATATATATATATATATATATATATAACACATTAATACAGTTAAAATTTAATAAAAACTAATTTATAATCAACTAATAAATATGTTTAAATATTATATAAATTAATAAAAAAATTAAAATTAAAATATATTGTTCAACGCAGCCGTGTGAGGCAGCTAAGGACTTTTATTAAATCAAATAATATAAATAATAAATAATAAGAAAAAAAAAAATATATATATATATATATAAATATAAGTCTGAAAGTAAAAACGAGTAAAAGCGTGTGCACTTGAGATGTGGACTTGAATAAGATAAGAGTGATGGCTCGACTCGGTATGATGTCGTACCAAAATCTATCAAACTTTGTATTTATCTAAACCGTATTTTGTGGGGTTGGGTTGACGTGAGATCAAAAGGTTATTCATGAGACTCGTAAGACCAATTTATGTTCATTGATCAACTTTATAAGCTATTGATCAAATGATTTTAAGTTGAATGGTGGCAATTTTGTAATTATTGAGAAGTCTCGTGGCAATTTTGTGATTATGAATGTTCAGATTGTAGATATAATCATAGAGTTGAGGATTGGCCTTACGAGTCTCACGAAAAACCATTGGTCTCACATGATCCAAAGTCTTATTTTTTCTGTTGTCATGTAATGAAACGGGATATATTTTGATTTTAATGTTTTATTTATTTTTTGTCTTTTTGAAATAATATGATTTTATGTGGTTTTTAAAAAACGATGATATTTTGATTTTTAAATAAAATATAAATTTGAAAAAATATATCGTTTTTATGTAATTTCTATAATTTAATTTTTTATTATAATTTAATTCAAGCTTAACAATAAAGTATAATAATATAATTTTTTATAAAGATAATAATTAAGTATTTCTGTTAAACTTAATATTTATCGTAATTATATTTTAGATTTTTTATATTTCAAATGAGATGTTTATCTTGTATTTGATTATGTTTATTTGCAGTTAATTACACGAGTTCAAAAATAGAGCTTTAATAAGTTGTATTTATGCAAAATTTACTTGTAATCTTAAATTTTAAGTAACTAGTATTTATAAACAGTACTTTATGCTTAAAAAAACGAGTTTTAAGAATTCTTGTCAAATACTTTATAATATAGTATAATATATATATATATATATATATATATATATATATATAAATATACGCATACAAGAGTTGGATTCATACAATAACAATATGTAAATAAGGGAATGAGAAAATGATCAAATAACATGTGATTTTACACTAAATCACGTGTAAAATCACATGTGATTCACACAATTTTGGCCGAGACCTAGAGTCGCGAGCCACATCACCCGCACACCTTTAACTAGGCTGTTAGTGTAAAATCACATGTGATTTTGCATTTGATTCAGTTGTTTTCACCGAAGATGTTTAACGAGTGTTCAAACTTGATTATTGATTATGTTCACAATGTGTATCCAAGTCCTTACAAAATGTTTGTAGTGATATGTTGTTTTTTTGGTTTTGGTGTTCACTTGAGTGATTACATTGAGTTACTTGGTGATACTTGTTAGGTTACTTGTTGTTCACAATGTGTTAGAGAGAGAAAGATTTACTTTGCAAACCATGTTATTTGTATAAACCTCATTCAACCAATCATAAATTTTTATTTTTTATTTTGTTACATTTTTCTATAATTATGAGAGGTTGATTAATCATTTTTATTGTGAATGGTGTTAATAATGGATATTATTATCTTCATTATTTTAATTTTAGAGAAATACATGAAACAGTTTCATTAAAATTTCATTAAGTATTATATGAAACAATTTCATAATCATATATGAAACAACTTTATAAAAAAAGTATTATATGAAACAATTTCACAAGATTAAACAATTTCATGAAAAAATTTCATAAGATTAAACAATGAAATTGACGGATGAGTGTGGTTTTGCATGGTTTGTACAAACTGCATGGTTTGCATTTGACCGCTTTTCTCTCTCTCTCTCTCTCTCTCTCTCTCTCTCTCTATATATATATATATATATATATATATATAGGGTTAGGTTCGAATGAAAAATTGAACATTTTGCAAGAAGGCAAGAAATTTCAATATCATATATGATTACACACATTATACACAGGCTAATTAATACATGATTAAACACATGTTGCATTGTTAGACACTTAATCATATATGATTAAACACAACTAAAAAAGTCGAATTATATATGATACTGAGACTTCTCGTTTTCTTATATAATCTGCCCTCTTCTCTCTCTTTATATATAATATTGTAGTAGTAAGTAAAAATTATTTTTTCTTCACGTAATTAATTTTTGACCCAAAAAAGGGAATGTATCGATTAAGACAAAATATAAATGGGAGATTTATATGTGTACTATATTATAAAGCATTTGATAAAAACTCTTAAAAACTATTTTTTATGTGTAAAGTACTGTTTATTAATGCATATTACTTAAAATTCAAGATTGCAAGTAGATTGTGCGTAAGTACAACTTATTAAAACTCCGTATTTGAATTCGTAAAACTAACTGCAGATAAACATAATCAAATACAATATAAACATTTCATTTTAAATATAAAAAATCTAAAATATGATTAGAATAATTATTGAGTTCTAATGTAATACGTAATTATTATCTTTATAAAATGTTATATTATTAAACCAAAAATAAATTATTTCGTTATTAAACTTA